AATGCTTTCCGAGTAGGTTTTTGTTAGCTTCTGTGCCCCACCAGTAACACTGTCAGGAAACTTAACAGTGCAAAAGATTGCACTGACGTGATGTAATCCTTCCTCTCTTTCCTTCACTGTAGTATGCTATCTTTCATCAAGGCAGACAAATACTCTTATCCTTTCCCTTGGCCGAAACCAGATCTGCTATCTCTCCTTATGTTAGTAGGTCAATTTCTTGTCAGATGTGCATAAACACATAAAGATAACACTAGTGATTTTACTGTGGGTTGTTGCAGATACAGTATTGCCTTCATTTCAGTTGTTGTAATTCAGTATTTCTGCCTACTGCATCTTCTGCTCAGAGCTCCTGTTTTCTCAGCCACTACCAAAACAGCTTCTCCGTCACTGGGAGTCTGTTTTCTCTGAGCTGAGGTTACGCAATAAGCCTCGTCTCCAAGAAACAAAACGATGCTATTTATGAATCTTCATTAATGAATCTTTATTGTACTCTTAGCAAACAAAACACTGGGAAATCCGACCTAACGAACTCAAGTGAAGTCACTCTGCAACCCCTGCGTGGGGTTTACCTGCGCTGGGTATTTCAGGAGAGCACTCACAGGCACTGTGTCTTCAGCAGGAATTTCTACGGATTGCCTGCCACTGGCTAGAAACACACTAAGATACGCAGAAGCGATAACATGACCTTTGTGGAGTTTTTCAACCCTGCTGAGATGATACAACTGAAAATCATGCCATTGCTCATCAAAACATAGCCCGTCTGTTTCCGTATAATTATTCTCGTCTTTTATTTTGTACAGCACCCGTAGCAACAGGCTCCACAGGTGTTGCCATGACACAGGTTATCATGTTCGTATTATGATCTAGTAATTTTGGATATACCTTGTCTGTTCTTGCATCAAATTGACTTCCAGCCCTGTATAGGATGTGTGATGTCTATGGCTTTAATCTTCCACACACTTCCTATTTGTGAAACACATTTTTATTAGTTATGGTTTCAGATTACTCCCTAGAGTCAAAAGCATATATATTCTTTAGTTATAAACTTTTAATAATGATAACATAGTTTTCTGCTGTTACTGTGGTGGGGTTTTTTCACAGAATCACAGAATCACAGAATCACAGAATGGTAGGGGTTGGAAGGGACCTCTGTGGGTCATCTAGTCCAACCCTCCTGCCGAAGCAGGGTCACCTACAGTAGGTTGTAGAGGACCTTGTCCAGGCGGGTCTTGAATATCTCCAGAGAAGGAGACTCCACAACCTCCCTGGGCAGCCTGTTCCAGTGCTCCATCACCCTCAGAGGGAAGAAGTTCTTCCTCATATTCAGACGGAACTTCCTGTGCTTCAGTTTTTTGGGGTTTTTTTAGTCCATCTATTTATTATTTTTTTCCCTAGATGTTTAACCTTTCTTTATTTTGTTCTGTGGGTATCTCTTCTCTTTTAGGAAGTTCAAGCTGTCTGGGTGTAGAAATGTTTAAGACTGGCTGGATCCTGAGAACAAATAGCTTCTCTTGATACCTGAATCAAAGTATTAGTAAAACAATGCCTCCAATAGTACATCATTTCCACAAGGTCCATTGTTGCTGTTGATTATTAATAGGAGACAATTGCATTTTCTCACACTCACGTGTCTGTGTAAGTCCTTTGGGATGTATAGATGGCATAATATTATGTTCCTGAATCAGGAAAAGAAATAAAATTACAAGTGGTAGCCCAAGAAATCTTTTGCTTTGTTTCACTTTGTAGTTTCTATCCCTTTAAGTTTTAGCTGCTGTATTCAGCATATATTTTACTTTTTACATCACTGATTAAATTAAGAGGCAAATTAATTGAAGGGCTCTGACTGCTCTTGATTGTCAGCAATTTGGATGCTTATTAAGTGGTTTAAAGTATATTTAATTAAAGATGTATTGCTTCATATCCAATAGTCAGTAAAACATTTAGCATTTATGTCTTCTTAAAGTATTATCACTTTTTCTGTAGTTCAAGAAGAAGAGTTTTAAAGGCTGTACGCATAATTTCCTCATTCTGAAAGAATGACTAACCACTAATTGCACTGACTATAGTCTTCCTCTTGCCTACTTTTTATAATTAGAAAAATGAATTGGCTCTTTCAAAGTGTGATGTCTTTGCATGTTCCTAATAAAAACACTATGTTGCCATTCACTACCTATTTCAAAGGTTAAGAGACACTGTGGATCAGAGGAGGGATCAGTTGGTACATGCCACAAATGTGTCTGGAGTTTAGGCACGGAGCGGCACGCTGCTCTGAGCCGCTTTTTCTCTCTTCTTTCTCCTCTCCAAATTAGAAACCCATCCTAGAGCAACAGCAGCCAGCCTTTTTCACACCTTCCAAAATAGTCCAGAAGGTGTAGCCACATAAAGAAAACCAGCCACAGTACAGGAGGCCACGTAACAACTGGTGTTTCTTGTGACGAAGCATGAGTTTATTGTGCTTTACCCTGCTCCAGCACCTTTAAGGAAGTTAAACCATCATCCCCTGCCTTGACCTTCCCCACAAGTCCTTTGGCTGCAACTACCGGTGAGGGGGAGCAGGCGTAAGCGATGAAAGCAAGCCCCATGACATTTCTTCAAAGGCCCTTGGTGAGGAAGAGGAGAGCACGCAGCAAGTCATGTGACGTGACTGCGCCAGCCCCATTTGAAATCCAGAAGGAAAATTCTATTTTTCACTTTTTTATAGAACTATTTATTTGGGAATAGAAAGAAGAGATCACGGGCCCAACACATGTTAAAAAAAAGGATCAGTGACTTCTTCCTTGTTTTTGAAGCCAAGTTATTATAAAATAATGGGGTATGTTGGGAGTGACCAGGACATGAGGATTTGGACATCCTCCTCAAAACAGGCTGGCCTCTTTCACCTTTAGTAAAAGGAATTTGGAGTTCTAGGTTTAAAGAAGCGAAAGCAGAACTGGAGATTTCTGCAGCTGATTTCTGTGGAGACGAATTAACATCCTGAGGTTTATTTGCCCGTTTGGTAAGGTCACCTAGGCCTCCTGTTGAATCAACAGAAATCCACCCCTACCACAGGCCTCCCCGGTGCTGGGACGAGGAGGAGCTGAGGAAGGATCCTGACTATTCAGGATCCTCCTTGGGGGAGATTCAGACTGGGCATGAGGAAGCATTTCCTTACCAAGAGGGTGGTCAGACACTGGAAGAGGCTTCCTAGAGAGGCGGTCGATGCCCCAGGGCTGTCAGTGTTGGAAGAAGCATTTGGACAATGCCCTTAACAACATGCTTTAGCTTGGTCAGCCCTGAACTGGTCAGGCAGTTGGACTGGATGATCGCTGGAGGTCCCTAGTCTAATTCCAGGGTAAGGATCCACGAATTTGTGTTCCGCTGCGCTGTATCACACCAAGCCCCACTCGCCACGTCGGCAGGGTGCAAGGCAGAGGTGGGAAGGGCAATGTCCAGACACACTCCTCCTTCTCTGGCGCCTGGCTGGCTGCAGCATGCAGGCAGACCCGTTAGGCTAAGCAGTGATGGCCTCAGTGGAGTTCCTGCCAGGCAGGTAGGGCTGCAGCAGGGTGCCACTGCTGTTTGCCTGTGTGAGAAGCTGCCTTTTTTCTTTATTTATTTGTAAAGTTGCATTGGGTGCTGGTGCCCAGGGGCTGGCAGGGGGCTGCAGGGTGGTCACTGTGAGGAGAGGCTGAGACTGCCCTGTGCCGGAGACAGCCAGCTCCAATGGACCCACCACAGGGCACGGCTGAGCCCCGCGGCCAAGGTGGTGGCTCCTCAGAAAAGCATGTGTAAGACAGGGCAGAAAACGCTGGGCAGGCAGAGGAGTAGGAAAAAGAGTGAGCAATAGCAACAAGGTCAGAGAATGCACTCCACGGTGGAGCACGCACCGCCTGAGGACCCAGCCTGGAGAAGAGGAGAAGCAGGAGTGGGAGGGCACAGCCGAGAGGCAAGTCTGCATGCTGACCATGACCCCCTCTCCTCCCACTCCTCACCTTGGGGAAGGGACAGAGGGCAGCCTGGTGTTTCCCCCACACTTTCACGCTCATCCTCTTGCTTCCCAATATCCAAATCAGTAATTAAATATAGATCTATATTAATTGGTCATAAATTAATTTCCCTAGATCAAGTCTCTTTTGCCCATGACGGCAACTGGTAAGTGATCTCCTTGTCTGTCTCAACCCATAAGCTTTCTCGTTTCTGTTTTTCCCATTTCGTCCCCCTGTCTCGCTGGGGAAAGGGGGACTGAGCGAGCAGCTGGGGTGAGAGCTTGGCTGCCAGCTGGGGCTAACCCACCGCAGAAGTCCAGCAAAACACAAGCTGTTTGTAAACTTTGGGCTTAAGACCAAAGGCAAAGAACAACAATAACAAAACGATGTAAAGGAATTTAGGAAATTTTCTGTTCACTTTGCGTCATTGACGTGGGTTATCTGAGCTTTCTCTCCATGCCTGCACACTGAACTTCACTTCAGAAAGTTAGAAGACTTTCCCTTTTAGATCAGCTTAGAACTTTGCACATCTATAAAATGACACCTTCTATGAGATTGATTACATGGCTCTTTGAGTAAGAAAACCTGTTTGTTCTTTTGCAAAGTCAGGGAGACCTTGAGCTGCTCAGGCTTTGCGCAGCAGTTTAAGGGCATTGTTTCTAGCAGCTCACTGGAAAGAAAATGCATTCTAATCTGCATCTCTTATCCAGGTTAATAAATACAAAGTAAGGTATACACCATCCCAAGTGAACAGCTTTCATGCATCTGCCTATATCCTTTTCTTGTTGAATAGAAGACATATCATTCTTAAATCTGTTCAATATTTGTTTAATTCTTACTTACAAAACCCTTATTCTGTGGAAATCTAGTTATTCTTTCCTCAGCTCCTTTACTGTCTTGCCTGAAGGGGTATGTACATGCAACACAAACTTCAGAAGCTAATACAAAACACCCTACAGAAGACAGGGTTGTAAAGGATGATGCAAATGGTTACAAAAGAAACAAAGCAGGCACAATAAAAGTATTCTTAAAATAAAAAAAAGCATTTATTAGGAGATCATAATACATGCCAAAATAAAAGGATCTTTTAAACCACCTATTATGTTTATGGTTTGTATTTACAGGTTTCTCTTCCCATTTTAAAACTAGAATTTGTTTTTGTATTTGCACGTATGGTTAAAAAAACATATTTAAAAATGTCATTCAAGAACAGATGCATACAATGAGGAAAAGGCAACACTGGCTTGAAATGAAGCCATTCCAGCACAAGTCAAGAGCAGAGAATGTGTTAGGGTTGAAAATTTAAATACGCCCTACTTAAACTGAGAGGGTAAAATTCTGTAAAAACAAGAACAAATCACCTAAAAACTAACAATGGCAGCCTTTTTACTTTTTTATAATATCACGTCAAAGTTACACAGAAGACCCCAGTGATCACTAGGGAATCTGCCACAGTCTAGTTTTTCCAATCCGATTAAGTCCATACTTCGTGGAACAATATGTCCCCCTTCTGCTGCAGGCCGAAAGTAAATGCGGTCAAACCTCATCTTGCACTTGTACGCTGCATCCAGGTTGGTGTTGGAGTGTGTGTCCCAAGTATAGCGGCAGTGTTGAGGTTTACCCAAAAACTCCCAGATGTCAGTAATGTTGTTGGGTAGGTTACCTAGTTTAGTAACCTGAAAGTAGAAGGGGGGAAAGAATTCACAAGATACTGAATTCACAAATTTTACCTTCAAAAGCAGAACTAAGTTGTCACAGTCTCACTTTTTTTCTGCAAAACTTGAGTTGTTAAAACCAAAGATATCGGAGAGGTTTCTAAATTGTGGTATTTGTCAGGATACTCTAAAGCATGACCAATTCCTGTAGTACTTTACAAATTCAAAACATGTTACAAAATAAATGTTCAGCTCTGAAATTTTGACGTATGGGGTCAACACCATATTCTCTCAAACAACATCTTTCCAGTTCACTGCAATGAATTTCACGATAGGAAAAGATGAAACACTGACTTTAAATAATAATGCACAAATTCCACTTTTAGTATCAACAGCCAAAAACAACTTCTAATTTTAAACATCTGGATGATGGGGGATTAATTTTAAACTCCCAAGATCTGTCTCTCCAGAGCACCCTCTTCCTTCATTGATTCTACAAGCATTAGCTCTCTGAGAATTGCAAAGTTGAGCAAGTAAAGATCACCTTCTCGAAATGAGAAGATGCTTTTGAAGTCGAAACTTCATTGACTACCTCTGCATCTTCTCAGCTACAACTATTGCCAATAAAGCATTTTGTTACTGGGGGGAGCTCTTCATACACATCACCTCAGCTATAACAATGCCTCAGCACAGCAATGCCACAGCTTCTACTTAGTCACACTTCCCCTTTTTAAGACTAAATGTTGCATATCTCTGTTCCGCCTAAGCAGGTCATTTCTCATAAAGAAAACAGAAAAGCCTGAGAAGAGTTTGTCAGAATACTTTCTCAAAATAACGAGGCTGCTTATTTCTATTTACCTCGCTGTCTCTGAGGTTTGTATCCCCTCCAAATATAACAGTGGTGGACTCCGACTCCTTCTGCATTTTGTTGAACACTATTTGTAGTTGCTTAATACGCTCCTTGGAGTGATTTTTAGTGCTCTCCAGATGAGAAGTCATAAGGCAAAGTTCATTGCCAGATATGCTCACCTGTGTGTGAAAAAACAGAGACAATGTTGCCACCCACACCATGATAAGAAGTTCAAAGACAAAAATCTAATCACAAAATAAATTACCAAATGACAGAACTCTGGTTAATCTTAGTTTTAAATTGAAAAAAAACAGCAGCTTACAGGAGGATAACAGGTTTTTAGTTTTGTTTTCAGAGGTTATGAGACTTGAAAACGAAGTATAGCCAGTAACTTACATACAAGATTTAAGTTTGTTAGTAATCAAATGCAACTGGGTTTGTATGCTTGGAGAAGTTTTTCTGCTGTTTGAGACTGTCATAAAGGAAAGCCAGCCCAGCCTTTCCTAGGATTTTTTTGTTTTGTAGCCAGAAACACATCTGTTTAGTACATACTGACTCACTCACATGCACAACCAAAAGGTTCCTCATCATGGAGGTTGTTGGAAAAGGTATTATCTCATGTTTCAGTAGCTTCACTCTTGATTTCTTCAACATTATGGCAGTGAAATAGCCATCTATGTTACCTAAAGAGGAACGGGAAAGAAAAGCCAAGGATATCTTCTGCTGTGCCAAAAAGAAGTCAAGGTTCTGAAAGAGACCTTTTTGATGATCTGGGAGAATCACGTTAATTTGTAAGATGCACAAAATCAATAGTTAGAAGTTTCATAAAAGTGGTGTGAATTTTTCAGACTTCTTTAAATGCAAATATTTAAGAAATCACTTATCTATGGCACTTCTTTGGCTATCCTTGCTATCAGTCTTTCAAAACGCAGAAAAAATACAAAGAAAACCACCAGGCAAGCAAACTTTGATGCACAATTTGCATCAAATTATACTGGTAACAAAACACAGAAAGTAACTTAAGTGCTTCCTTCTTCACTTTACCTATTTCATTCCTACACACGGTCAGAGATTTTGGCAGGGGAGACAAAATAAAATAGAACTTACTATTTCCAGTTTCTGTCTTTAGAAACTGAGGGCTATTTCTTACCTGGAATAACAGTGTAACTGCCTGCTCTCATCTGTAGAAGACAGAGGTGTGGTGGGATGACCTCTTGTAAAAACACGACATCCGGACTGTATCTGAAATCGGCAAGACAAGTTTTAAATTGACTACTAAAAGGTAGTATTGCTGCACTCTGAGGCCAAATGGAACAGGGTCAGGGATTTCACATGCACCCTGTCCTCGCCTTCCTAGATCTTGTAAGAAACTGCTTTTTTAAAAAGAAAAAACTCTCTCCATCATATTTAGTACCATGTAGACACACCACCACTGTTAAAAGGGAGGAAACAATGGTTATTATGGACACAGAACTGACATGGTAATAATATGCATGACTTCCTTATGCCTTGATCTTGCACACATTTGCATAGGTTTCATTTACTACACACACGAGGAATTCAACTCAAGCAGCTGCAAAGCAACTTTGGAACATGTTCTGTAACATCGAAGATCTCCAAGAGATTCCAGCCGCCACCCCACTTCCTTACAACAGACCAACTCAGGTAACCCGCCATTCATTTTCTCCAGTCTCATCAATGAAAAGCTCTTTTATTTCTTAGAGCTGTGCAATCAGTAACAGTTCCTGTGGGGCAGCAGTCCTGAAAATGCTGATTTAGACATGACTTTACATGACTTTACACTGCTTTACAGCCCTGTTCTAAGCTGATGAAGGACAAACCTAAGGCCTCATTTCCAGAAGAAAAATACTGTCACCCCGGATTAACAAAATCAGGTGTAAACTAATTTAGTTAAGGGGTTTCTGCAGTTTTAAGATGAACTTAAATTATTGCCTCTTTAAATAATTTAATTTACACTGATAAGTTGCTGTATTAAGATAAATCAAATTATGTAATTGTTAAAATTGCTCATAAATATATTCAGGGGGCGCTTCCACTAGTAGAACTGTAAAACATAACCACAGATTCTATTGCTTTTATCTTACCTTGCACATTTTCTTTTTTGACAGACAAGTAACAGTAATGGCAAGAGAGCCACTTTTCACATAGCAAAAAAGATTTTTTTCGTGAAGTTTCAAAAAGTGTGCTCTGGCATGAAGTTATTCATACTACTGGAACAAGACAAACAGATTTCTTGCAGTTTTACCCTTCTCTCATGCACAGGGTGGAAGTACGAAGTATGCTCTTGATGTACGACTGCAACTTGAAACATACTGTTCATTACAAAAAAAGCTTTTTAAAGTAGCCATTGCAAAATATTTAACCTTTGGGATGCTGCATAGGTTCACACCTCTGCCAACCACTATATCAGCTATTTAGGATTTCTGAAGCAATTGTATCTTTGCATCTAACGTTAAGATAATTTGGGGACAAAGATTTCGTACACATCTAAAACAAGCAGCTTGCTTTCTCCTTTAAAGGGGGGTACATGACAACACAAAGATGAAGCTGTACTTACAATGCCAGGTAAGAACAGATTCCTTTGGCTCGCTCTATTAGATTTCCTAGATCCAGCCCATCGACGTTCCAGGTGATCAGTGAGAAGCTGCTGTCATCTTCTTGTTGCCTCGAGTCTGCACTGTTGACACTGGCATTACTAGTAGTTGCATCTGCTGTGAGGTCAATACTAAAGAGGAGAGAGTTTACTTGTTTTTCAACATGCATAATACTATTCTTCCTGCAATTACCTCCCTTATCTTCTAAAGGAAAATGCTTTAGACCCGTCACAACTTACAGGTGGCCATCTAAAACTTTCCCAACAAATAAGTTAACACGGATTGATCGCAAGATAATTTAAAAGCGCAGTAACTAAAACATACAGACCTCAGTCACACAGAGCCTTAGTACACAGGTGACGTTAAGGGGGTTTTCCTCCTCCTTACAGACACAAGATAACATTTACCATTCTGATTCAAGCTAATCAGATGGTGACCAATGTAATCCAAAGCACTTGAGTAAATAAATTCTTTTCCCATGCTAGAGACAGACTGTGTATATCAATTTTTCAAACACTTTACAGCATATTAGGAAAAAATAACTGCAGCCAGGATTTGCTTTTATGTGTCCATCTTTGTAGTATACCTGGGATTCTTCCAATTGCTGAATCCCCCAGGGAGGTACATGTGCAAATTCACTCTGTGACAAATTGATAGTCCTTTTCTTTGGGAATATTCACCCCAAATTCCACCTCAAAAACACAGGCCCCGTCTACCCTGCTGATCTGATAAAGGCTAAACAGCACTGCCAAAGTCTGAGAGCCCAGTCCAGTAACTGTTTGGGGACAATGTTGCTGAAGAGAACCAGACTCTACCTGCTAACACATGGTTGTACTGGTTTTGGCTGGGACGCAGTTAATTTTCTTCATAGCAGCTCATATGGTGCTGTGTTTTGGACTTGTGACCAAAACAGTGTTGATAATAACACAGGGATGTGTGAGCTGCTGTGAGCAGTGCTCACACAGCATCAAGGCCTTCCCTGCTTCTCCCATCGCCCCACCAGTGAGAGGGCTGGGGTGGGCAGGAGGCTGTGAGGGGACACGGCCGGGAGCTGGGGGAAAGGAGGGGGAAAGGGGAACGTTCAGGGTTACGGCATTTGACTTCCCAGGTAACCATTACATGTGGTGGAGCCCTGCTTTCCTGGACATGGCTGGACACCTGCCTGCCGATGGGAAGCTGCGAATGAATTCCTTTGTTTGCTTCGGTCACACACACGGCTTTTGCTTTACCTCTTAAACTGTCTTTAGCTCAACCCATGAGTTTTCACGCTTTTACCCTTCCAATTCTCTCCCCCATCCTGCTGGGGAGAAGTAAGCAGCTGTACTGCCCACCGGGGTTACACCACACTGATACAATGTAAGTTCCTTGAGTAAAGGGAGATTCTGTAACAAAATACATTAAATATTAAATCTCACCATAGCTGAGACTGGACAAACTGCATTTTGGCAAAGTTGGGATAGCAGAATTTTGTTTTTAAACACAGAGTTTGTATGCGCACACAAAAACAAAGCCGTGAACCAAACCAAATCTATTCCCTAGAACTTAGTACTGGTTTTAAACTTGGTGCTGCACAAACAATGCAAGATTCTGCTACCATGCAAGTGTAATCCAAACTGAACAGAAAAAGAAAAGCAGATAAAGGAGAGCAAGCTAAGGGATATTTAAGCAGGTAAATAACGTGGTATACGCCTCCAGTATTTCCATGATGACTTTTTACATTTATACTGTAACCTGAAGGACTATGAGATGAAACACAAAAGTCTGTGTGGTCGGCAGGGACCTTCCCCTGACTGGGCGGTCTTCAAACAGTCCTCCCTCCCAACAAAACTTGCACACAACAGCTCAGGACAGAACCCACAGTGTGAAGGCTGACAGAGGATGGAAAAGAAAATAGTGCTGCCAGATTGATACAGATGTATTCTGACTCGTCATGGACTACCTAGAGCCCAACACTAATGTTCAGTAGGCTTGCATTTTTTCATACATACATATCAAGCAAAAACAGGTACACTGTCATCAAATACAGCTTACTCTTAACTATAAAGATCATAAGGGCTCTTCTACATAATATGTGAGTCTATAACAAATCTACATGAATGGCAGGGACCTGTAAAAGTTCAATTCCATGCACGGCTCAACACCCTTGGTGTGTCCTGTGGGCACGCTGTGAGACAGCCAGCGCGTCTGAGGCACAGCTCTCAGATCCTGACTTCCACAGGCGCATTCAGCAAGGCACGCGAATGTCAGTTTTACTTACAGAAATACAAACATACATACACCTGGTAGGTGATACACATACACAGTTTACACATACACAAACGTGTGTGTGCACAGTAAAATCTGCACAAGATGAGTCCGTGAAGAGAAAACGACCAGGGGATCAGGCCCAGCCAGCATGGGTTCATGAAAGGCAAATCCTGCTTCAGCAACCTGATCTCATTCTATGACCAGGTCACTCATTTAGTGGACGAGGGAAAGGCTGTGGATGTCATCTACCTGAACTTTAGTAAGGCCTTTGACACTGTTCCCCACAGCATCCTCCTGGAGAAAGTAGCTGCCCAGAGTTTGGATGGGAGGCTGCATAAAGAACTGGCTGAATGGTCGAGCACAGAGAGTGGTGGTGAATGGAGTTAAATCCAGCCAGCTGCTGGTCATGAGTGGTGTTCCCCATGGCTCAGTTTTGGGCCTTTCTTGTTTAACATCTTTATCAATGATCTGAATGAGGGGATTGAGTGCTCCCTCAGGAAGTTTGCAGATGACACCAAGTTGGGCAGGAGTGTTGATCTGCTCGAGGGTAGGAAGACTCTGCAGAGGGACCTGGACAGGCTGGATCGATGGGCCGAGGCCAACTGTATGAGGTTCAACAAGGCCAAGTGCCGGGTCCTGCACTGGGGTCACAACAACCCCAGGCAACGCTGCAGGCTTGGGGAGGAGGGGCTGGAGAGCTGCCTGGCGGAAAAGGCCCTGGGGGTGCTGGTTGACATCCAGCTGACCAGGAGCCAGCAGTGTGCCCAGGTGGCCAAGAAGGCCAACGGCATCGTGGCTTGGCTCAGCCATGT